CCAGCCGGTTTCGGGCTCGATCGCCAGGAAGAATATCGAGCACCCAGAAAAAATTGAAACGGAAGGGTTTTTGCGTGTCGGGCCCTGGTAGGCGAAGCTCGCTCGACACTTCTGCCAGCGCGTCGGGCAGACACGGGTTCGGTATTTTTCTGGGTGCTCGACAGTACTCTGGGATGTGGCCCTCGAGTACAGTGGAGGCCAATCCACAAGAAATGTTCCACGAGAAACCCAACCCCGAGACCCTCCAGGACGCCCACACTGACTCTTGGTGCGGGAGCGCCGCGCTTGCCATCGCAGAACTGCTGGAACCCACGGAACCCAGGGCACCCAGAAGGGACGCAGGGCGTTTCTTGGCATGGGCCTCCGCTGCACGACGGGAGCAACACGGCTCTCGGGTGGCGCCCGCTGGCTGCGAGCCTCCCCGCCTCCGCGGAGGGCCGCCCTCCTGGCGGCGCCCGCTCTCGGTGCGCGCCTCCGGCCCCCCCCCCCCCTCCCCGGACCCCCGACGCTGCGCTTCTTGTCTTGAGTCGGGCCTGCCCCTCCACAGGAGGACAATTCAGAAACAGCAGGAAAATAGTCTGGGGACTCGTTTTGGAGTACTGTTTGACTATATGTGGGGGTATGTTTTGAGTATTTTCATTTGTCGCCCAAAATCCCCCTGTAGGGGGCCAGGCCCGACTGAATTCTTGTCGCAACCGCGACCCCCAGAGGTCCCGATCCATTCGCCGCGACCAGGTTCTCCTCGCGACTCGTCGAATCGGCGGAAATCGGCAGGCCAGCAGACCTCCAGAGTGGCACAGCGGGGCCTCCTGCTCGGCATCCGAAGCCGCATCGACTCGGCATCGGAGGCCACCGAGAGCAACATCGACTCGCATCGACTCCGAGGCGTCGAGGCGAGCCCCGCCCGCCGCGGAGTCCTCGCCCTCGTCCGAGCCCACGTCCACGGCGACGCGGTGGAGCGGCGCGGCCCCGGGGGCGGGGAGCTGCGCCAGCTCCGCCTGGCGGGCCCCCCGGGGGGGGAGCGGGGGCGGCGCGGGCGGCGCGGGCGGCGCGGGCGCAGGGCGCCGCGCGCCCGCAGCCCGGACGCGGCGGCAAGGCTGCTTTGGAGGCGGGCCCCACGGCGGGGGAGGAGGAGGGGAGGGGAGGGGAGAGGGGAGGAGAGGGGAGGAGAGGAGTGAGGGGAGGGGAGGGGAGCGGAGTGGAGGGGAGAGGGAGGACACCTGGGGAGGTGGAGGGGGGGATGGCAGGGGGAGAGGGTAGAGGGGAGAGCAGGTAGGGGTAGGGCGAATTTTTGGTTGAAAGGTGTGTTAAAACTCTACTTCCTCACTACATGAAGGAATCAGTATTTGTTGATCCCCCCCTGACCATTGTGGTTTTTCACTTGAATTGTTTCCCCTGGGGCTTACACCCTGTTTTTTGTTACCAAGGAAAATATGTAAGCTCAAACTGCGTTGTTGGCCCCCGGATTACAACAACAACAACAACAACAACAACAACAACAACAACAACAACAACAACAACAACAACAACAATCATTTAAGACTGGGGACACTCCGTTCTCACCAGTGCCAGGGTTTTCATAGGAGGCGGGCAATACCCCCACTTTGTGGGGGGGCCGGTTCAAGCTCTACCAAATTTCCAAACGACTCTTCGCCACCACCCACACCCAGCTTCCCGCCCTATGACTTTCGGACACTTCACTTCGTGGCATGCGGACGACCGTGGCTACTATTCAGGGCCCCGCGGCCGACGACGACGGCGTGCGCGCGCGAAGAAAACGAATGTGTCCCGCATGGTATTATTTGACAGGGATGATGGCCCTGGCAGGTGCGCAACCGTTGTCGCAGAAGTTCGAAAAAGTTGCTCGCAAAAGCCCGTTTGACAGAAATGTTTAAAAAGTGTTGGGTTTCCTACGAATCCGCAAGAGCGCGCGGGATGAGATTTTGACATTTTTTTGTTGAAAAACCATTGGTTTTTTTGATGTTTTTATGTTAAAATCGCTCCGAACACTAAGCTTTTGGAAGGATTTCGTCTTGCGCGCGCGAATGTCCACTTTACCTTATTTTTTGCAAGGGATTCTTGAAATTTGATTATATTAGAACAAGAAATGTCATTTTATAGTGTTTTTTGCAAGGGAAAACGGATTACAACAAAACAGCCGGATCTGGACCCCATCCACTTTTCTGAAGCTTTCGCGAAAAAATGATGAAAATGTAGCTGCGGCCTAGGCGCGGCGGGGGGGGCGTGCACCAGGGGCCCCAACAATAATTATTCTTTAGAATTAATAATGTTCAACAACAACAACAACAACAACATTAACAACAACAACGGTTCCCGCTGGAGACTTCCTCTGAATTTAGCCTGGACCCCCGCTACCGCCTGTGATTTCCTGGCATATTACTCAAGAGCAACGCTCTCGCTTGGGACTTCCTTACACTTTATTCAGGAGTCGCTCTCTCGGCGCCCTGGAGTCGCGCTCTCACTGGAGGCCCGCCTGCAACTTACTCAAGAATCGCGGTCTTGCTGTGGAATTCCTTGCAATTTACTGAAGCGCCGCGCTCCCGACACTCAGGCACCCAGGAGTCGCGCTCACGCTTGGGACTCCTTCACAGCTTACTGGGGAATCGGGATCTCGTTGCCCTTCGTGGCCCCGTTGCAGCCTTTCGTGGCCCCCTCGCTGCCCATCGTGGACCCGTTGCAGCCATTCGTGGCCCCCTCGCTGCCCTCCGCGGCCCCGTTGCAACCCTGCGTGGCCCCCTCGCTGCCGTTCGTGGGCCCGTTGCAGCCCTTCGTGGCCCCTTCGCTGCCCTTCGTGGCCCCGTTGCAGCCCTTCGTGGCCCCCTCGCTGCCCTTCGCGGCCCCGTTGCAGCCCTTCGTGGCCCCCTCGCTGCCCATCGTGGACCCGTTGCAGCCCTGCGTGGCCCTCTCGCTGCCCTTCTGAGCCCCGTTGTAGCCCTTCGAGGCCCCTCGCTGCCCTTTCGTGGCCCCGTTGCACTCCTTCGTGACCCCCTCGCTGCCCTTCGTGGCCCCGTTGCAGCCCTTCGTGGCCCCCTCGCTGCCCATCGTGGACCCGTTGCAGCCCTGCGTGGCCCTCTCGCTGCCCTTCTGAGCCCCGTTGTAGCCCTTCGAGGCCCCTCGCTGCCCTTTCGTGGCCCCGTTGCACTCCTTCGTGACCCCCTCGCTGCCCTTCGTGGCCCCGTTGCAGCCCTTCGTGGCCCCCTCGCTGCCCTTCGTGGCCCCATATGCGCATGCCCTTCGTGGCCCCCACGTGTTCGCGCCCGTCGTGGCCCCATATGAATGCGTTTCGTGGCCCCGCCGTCGCCTTTCGCGGCCCCTTCGCTGCCCATCGCGGCCCCGCTGCCGCCCTCAGAGGCCACGTCTTTGCCCTCTGCGGCCCAATATACGCATGCCCTTCGTGGCCCCCGCTCGCTCGCGCCCGTCGTGGCCCCAAATGCATGCCCTTCGCGGCCCCGCTGTCGCCCTTTTTGGCCCCCTCGCGGTCCTACGTGGCCCCGCTGCTACCCTCAATGGCCCCGTCGTTGCCCTCCATGGCCCCGCATTATCTGCCCTTCGTGGCCCCCGCTCGTTCGCGCCCTTCGTGGCCCCATACGCATGTCCTTCGTGGCCCCGCTGTCGCCCTTTGTGGCCCCCTTCCTGCCCTTCGTAGCCCCGCTGTCGCTCTCGCTCTCGCTCTTGCTCTCGCTTTCGCTCGTCGTCGTCGTCGTCGCCGTCGTCGTCGTCATCGTCGTCGCGGTCGGTCCCCTGTCTGTCCCTCTTGGGCCGGGTTGCCGCCGATCAGCGCTGCCGCTGGACAGCCGACGGTCCGCGGCCGCCCCGCCGCTTGCCGGGGCCCGGCCTGCAGGGAAGAAAGATATACCTCCCAGAGGGGGCACGATCGAAGACGAAGAGGACGGGTATCGAGAAGTTGGGAATACACATGGAATGGAATGACACTCGAGAGGATAAGAGCATGATTGTTGTTGTTGCTGCTGCTGCTGTTGCTGTTGCTGTTGCTGTTGTTGGTGTTGTTGTTGGTGGTGGTGTTGCTGTTAGTGTTGCTGTTGTTGTTGCTGCTGCTGCTGCTGTTGTTGTCGTGGTTGCGGTTGTGGTTGTGGTTGTTGTTGTTGTTGATGCTGCTGCTGTTGCCGTTGTTGGTGCTGTTGTAAGGCTGTTGGTTGTGGTGTTGTTGCTGTTGCCGCTGCTACTTTCAACCTCCCGGGGGTCCCTGCCAGGCCCCAGGGGCGTCAGAAAGCGACTCGGGCTGATACACCGGTCCCGGGGAAAGGGTCCAGACCTCTGGAGGCCGACTTCTTCGGGGATCTTCTGACCCGGGTCACTCCAGACCCGGGTCAGCAGGAAACCAAAAAACTGCAATGCAGGAAATAAAAACTGCAACGCAGGGCTTCGCGAGCCCGGGTCAGGCAACACGCGCGGCCGCCCCGCGGCCACGAGCGGCTCGCTAAACCCGGGTCAGCCAGAGAGGGCCTTCGCAGGATCCTGCAGGATCCAGTACCCTGGCTGACCCCCGTTTGCACTGACCCCCGTCTCAAGGCTCCCGGCCCTCCCTCCTCCTCCTCCTCCTCCTCCTCCTCCTCCTCCTCCTCCTCCTCCTCCTCCTCCTCCTCCTCCTCCTCCTCCTCCTCCTCCTCCTCCTCCTCCTCCTCCTCCTCCTCCTCCTCCTCCTCCTCCTCCTCCTCCTCCTCCTCCTCCTCCTCCTCCTCCTCCTCCTCCTCCTCCTCCTCCTCCTCCTCCCTCCTCCCCCCCCTCCTCCCCCTCCTCCTCCTCCTCCTCCTCCTCCTCCTCCTCCTCCTCCTCCTCCTCCTCCTCCTCCTCCTCCCTCCTCCTCCTCCTCCTCCTCCTCCTCCTCCTCCTCCTCCTCCTCCTCCTCCTCCTCCTCCTCCCTCCTCCTCCTCCTCCTCCTCCTCCTCCTCCTCCTCCTCCTCCTCCTCCTCCTCCTCCAACACGTGGTGAACAGGCCACTCGAGGGCCCGTGTGCGCACGCGAACAAAAACAGGCGCTGGCTCGGGTGGGGCGCCCTAAAAATCGCCGAGATCGTCGAAGAAGTCAGGCCCGGATGGGCCATGCAGCTGAGCAGGGTCATCCAGTGAGCGTGGTGGCTCGTACCTTCCTTGCCGTATGGTGAGCGGGTTGAGTTTGATCCTGCTGAGTTCGGCCTTAGAGTAGTCCGCCCGTCGGCCTGGCGGGGGAAGGAGGGGGGAGGGAGGGAGGGAGGGAGGGAGAGAAAGAGGGGAGTGAGGGAAGGGAAGGTGGCGGAGGGAAGGGAGGGAGGGAGGGAGGAAAAGAGAGCGAGAGAGAGAACACACATGTGTTTAGCATGCATGCATGTATGAAGGTACGGATGGATGGATTAATGGATATACGTACGACTGTATGTACGAATGTATACATGTATGTATGTGTATGTATGTATGAATGTATGTATGTGTGTATGGATGTGTCTATGTGTGTATGTGTGTATGTGTGTATGTGTGTATGTGTGTATGTGTGTAGGTAGGTATGTTTGTTTGTATGTTTGTTTGTATGTATGTATAAATGTATGTTTGTATGTATGCATGTATGCATGCATGTATGTATGTATGTAGGTATGTATGTGTGTATGTATGTATGTGTGTATGTCTGTATGTCTGTCTGTCTGTCTGTCTGTCTGTCTGTCTGCCTGTCTGTCTGTCTGTCTGTATGTATGTATGTATGTATATGTATATGTATGTCTGTATGTAGTTATGTATGTATGTGTGTATGTATGTACGCACGCACGCACGCACGCACGTACGTATGTATGTATGTATGTATGTATGTGTATGTATGTATGGATGTATGTATGTACGTACGTATGTATGTATGTATGTGTGTATGTGTGTATGTATGTATGTATGTATGTATGTATGTATGTATGCATGTATGCATGTATGCATGTATGCATGTATGCATGTATGCATGTATGTATGTATATAGGTAGGTAGGTAGGTAGGTAGGTAGG